CTGTCAGAGATGTAAATGTGCATCTGGTTCTAGCAAGGAACCAGAACCCATGCCATCGACATCAGGCGTGAGTGAAACTGCAGTCTGCCCTCCAGCTTCTGACATCTGCTGACGGCGCTTCAGCTCTGCCGTCTCCCTTCTGACATCTGCTGACGACGCTTCAGCTCTGCCGTCTCCCTTCTGACATCTGCTGACGGCGCTTCAGCTCTGCCGTCTCCCTTCTGACATCTGCTGACGACGCTTCAGCTCTGCCGTCTCCCGCCTCCTCTCCCTCTTCCTGTCAGAACGTCTTGCCTGTTCACTCGATGCCAGCCTCTGTATGCCAACTGTTGCATTGTACTGCTGTTCTTTTCAAGGTACTGTGCTGTAAGATTTAAAAGGTTTACTTTTTTTGAGTTTGTTTTTTATGTGTCATTTGTGTGAAAAGTAGTATACACCTATTACAGCACAGTACCATATAGCCGACTGTGTTAGTTGGGGACCTAGGCTAACTGTTGGACTTACAAACAATTTAGACTTACGAATGCACTCTTAGAACAGAACCTATTTGTATGTAGGGGACTTCCTGTAGTTCATCTTTTTCTTCCTTTTTCTCTCCCTAGGCATTTCTCCTGGCTAGGCTGGGGCTCATCCACGCTCAGGTCTGTAGGCTCAAATTCCATCTGTTCAACAGGGCCCCGGTCAAAGGCCTCATAAAACCACACCCAGAAGCCACCTGTTCCTTCCCCAGAATCCTATTTTAATGTGTCTTGTATTTAAAATAAAAGACCTATGACTAACTTCCTATATTTTTAGTTAGTTGTTTGGTATAATTTATTCTGAAAACTCACCAAGTTCCTAAAGGCACAGGCTCCACAGACTGTGCTACAAGGTCTTAAAATGAGGAAGAAGGCATCAATGCTTGTTGAGTAAGTGGACGCATAAATCAGTCTTGTTCTCTTTTACACTCACATAGAGATCTGAAAGATCATTTGGAATAACTCTACCTATATAGCTGTATGACCGTTACTGCCATTTTAGACATAAATAGAGATATGCAGTCCTTCAATATTAAGAATTAAAAGGTCCAGAAATATTGGTGCCAAGGCTTACCTTTCAGCTCATGTTTTCAAGGAGTAAATAATGCACTCCAGGGTCAATTACCCAAAGATGTCACAGCTGGAAGTAAGGTTGTAGTGCTATTGCATTTACACTTTATAATAGTCTAATATGGTATCTATAGAAATGAAATAACCGTGTTTGTACTCTTGGCTTCAGACGCCTTAATGTAATTAAAACTGTATGTACCTCACAATATTAGTCTTTTCATGTAGTCTGTGAAGAGAAGGATATTTTGTTTGAGAAAATATGCAAATTATTCTTGCCTCTTACATCGTAAAGGTTTCCAGAAATCAGACAGCTTTTTAAAAGATTGTTTGACCTTCATTAACCTTGTCTTCCAATTATAGTCATTCTGGGAACAGTCAGGTTTAATCTAACAACTCACTATCCCAAGGAAAAAGTCTTCTATGGAAAATGTTTTAGAAAAGCTGTTGTAAGATATTGGTTGGATTTTAAAGTGTGAAAGATGTGGCTGGACTCCACCTTTAGGGTGAGGTATGTACAGTTCTTTTTTTGGTTTTGGTCTGGGAATGATGAGTTTGCCTGTGAGGGAACCCCTGGCTGGTGAGGGTGGGCATGGCCCTCTGTCCTGGATGTGCCTGGGTATGCAGAATATAGGTAGCAGGAGGCCAGCTGCAGGGCAGTGTCCTCTCCCATGCCAGCCGCTGGCACAAGTGGAAGCTGAGTCCACGTACTCATTTATTTTGATGGCAAAAGCCATTTCTGCTACCACGGTCTTTCCCGATTGTGTCTGCTTTGTCCTTCCGTCTTCTTGTGAAGCTGCTCTGGCTCATATGTACTCCCCCTATATTTTGGCTGCACCATGCGGCATGGGTGAACCCATGCTTCCTGCAGTGGAAGTGCAGTGTCTTAACCAATGGACCACCAGGCACGTCCCCACCCGTTATTTTGTCTTGTAATTTAGCCTCCAACTATATTTATAATTAATTACATAATTCCATTTCCATAACATTATATAACACACTGTCTTCTCCTACTCCACATGCCGGGGAATGATATTAAAACAATAAAATAATTATGGCTGAAATTCATTGGTATCTTAGTTAGAACATTTAGTTCTAACCATCATAGGATAACCAAACGTATGGAAAAACTTAAAAGAGTAAATCTGTGGGCATGAAATTTATTTGTAGTCTTACTTGTAATTGTGCCACTAATTAGGATATAATCAAGTATGTGGTAAAAATTTGCTGAATAAATGAATGCATGAGTCACTTATGTTCTCTTTTACTTTCACATGGAGAATCATTAGGGATGACTATATATTTGCATATGTATCTATATAAGTTTATAGACGTATATATAATTTCCAAATGGGATTGCAATACAGTTCTAATCAATGTGAAAACAACTGAATGTTCTCCTGACAGTAAATTAAATTCTGGAAGTGCTTCACTAATAAAACTGTCTCTCTACACAGCCATCTCGAATATTCAAATGTAAAAAGTAAGTTTAACATGATATTAGGAATAAAGTAATACTGGATACAAATATTTAGTGAAAGGAAGGAAGATGGCTTAGCTATAAACAGTAAATAAAGGGATTTGCTATGCAATAAAAGTCAAACGTCTAAATACGAGAGTAACACATTTGGAAAAGAATGGCCAAAAACAACAAAGATCTGTCTTTACCCTTAACATGATGTAGGCTTCAAATCCATGGGAAAGAAGGCTCAGCAATTCTAAGATTCCCTAAAGAAGTGCTTCAAACTTCTCAGAACAGTATGAAAAGAAAAACATTCAGCCTATATTTGGATCCTTGGGTTTGCGATCACTGCCAGGGTCAGAGGGCTCCATGGAAAATATATTTCAAAAATGAGTCCATATTGGTCAGCCCCCTCCTTCCATTAGGGGAAGATACTAATTCAGTGAACACTTTGCTTCTTCTCAGAGCAGCTCTTGGTTTAAAAGCCACTCAACCTATTGGTTTAATGCTCAATTAAAAAATGCAACGTCCCTTTTTCTTAGAACATTTTTCATAGTTCTGGTTTATTTATGATGAAGTCAGTAGACTGAAATCTGGGGAAATGGAACAGACTTCACAAGGAATGAAACTGATGATGATATGTGTGAAATTCCCTTTTAAAGGAAAAGTAGAGTAAAATTAAGCAACAGTAATCTAGTAGGTAGTTTGCATCTGGCTGCCTAACTCTATCTCCAGCTAAAGGACATGGACATGAAAAAATCTAATATGCAGAATGTGGTAATATGAAAAATAACGGGAATTACCCATATATACTTTCCAAATCCTTCTCACTGGCAAGTGTTTTTTAGGTATAGAGTTAACAGAACTGTTAGCCATTGTACTACTATAGCAAAGTGAAAGCTGTGGGGTTTTATTCTCTCATTACATACCCCCTGGAAGGGCCAAAGATGATACTCAGCTGTTGTTTTTCAAAGGTTGTCATAAATCGGTCTTACCTGCAGAATCCACAGGGAGGTAAACATTTTTGAGATTAGACAGGAACGGCCTTTTCAGTGTGTGTGTGAGTGTGTGTGTGTGTGTGTGTGTGTGTGTGTTCTGCATCTTTGTAACCAAATTCTTGCTTTATTTTTTGCCTTGTTTTAAATCATTAGGACAAGCATTAGCACCTGTGAGTTCCTGACTTACTGTTAATGCCTGTGGTACTTTACACTATGTGACCCAACATAAAGGGTGAAGTTAGATTGGGCTGGTTTATTTCTTTGTTTCTGACCGTGCTGGGTCTTCGCTGCTGAGCACAGGCTTTCTCTCGCTGCGGAGAGCAGGCTTCTCGATGTGGCGGCTTCTCTCCCGGCGCACCGGCTCCAGGGTGCGTGGGCTCAGTAGCTGTGGCACACGGGTTCATTTGCCCCTGGCACGTGGCATCTTCCTGGACCAGGGACTGAACGTGTGTTCCCTGCGTTTGCAGGTGGATGCTCAACCACTGGGCCACCCAGGAAAGTCCTAGATTGTGCCTCTTTCAATTTTGCTCTAAGCAAAGATACCTTGTTTCCCAGGGAGTAGATGAAATTTGACTGGAGGTGGCATAGGGTTTAGTACAGGATTTGGTATAGAGCTGCTGTTGGCAGATTTCCCCAGTTGGTGAAGTAAAGCTACATGCATTCAATGGGCCTAAAATTAAAGGCCAGGTGTGTACATTTCAAAAATGTGTATTCAGTGAGTGGATGAGTCGCATGTCATTTATTTCCAGGTGCCCTGTGGTATTCACGACAAGAAGCTGCAGCTGGTTCAGTGTTTGCCTACTAGTGTGATATCAGTTCATCTACAAACACCCAGAATATCTTTCCTGTGCATTATTTATAAAGCAGTGCTCGAACGGGATAAAAGGGACACAAGCCAACACACAGTGGAACAGAGAGTGAAAGAAACTGGTGGTAAAAACATGACCTTCCTCCATAAGGTCAAATAGTTTTATTTCGATTAAACACTACAATACAGTATATATCCATTAAAAAAAGAAAACTCTATTGTGTATATAAATTACTCCTTCCATTCATCAATTCTTTTCTTTTCCATTACAGCTTTGGTACAATGTGATTTCAGTATATAATTTTTTTTTAAATACTTCTTAGCATCACAAACTCAACACAAAGTACAAAACTAATAATCCAAATTAGGGATAGTATTGTCTACACAGTGGTATTCAGTGGTAGGAGAAAATCTTACCTTGATGAATTCATGTCACTAGCTAAGCTAGAAAGGCATACCTAGCGGACATGACGGAAATATGCACCATTAACCAGCTAACGTGTGGATTAGTCTTTTTTTTTACAGAATACCAGCAGCGGTCATTGGGGTGTGGAGTGAATACTGCAGCCCTCAGCGAGCCTCCCTGCCTGGCTCCTGCTCCCGCAGAGGGCCGCGGCGGTGCCGGAGGACACGGGCCCGGCCGGCGCTCAGAACCTGACCTGCCACCCGGCGTTGCTCACGCTGGCACAGTTGGTCCTGCAGCTGGCCGACGCCGCGGGGAGAGAGCTCGAGGGGCAGTGCGGGCCCACCAGCCTCAGGCTGCTCTGAGGGGTCGGCGGGGTGACGTTACAGTACACGGGCATTCCAGCGGCCGGGAGGGAGCCTTGGCCTGCCTGGGTAGGGAGCATGAGTGGCTGTTGGTACGACTGCTGGGGCAGTCCTTGAGAACCCTGGGTCATTGGCACCTGAGCAAAGACACAAGACACGTTCCTGTATGAGGAGGTCATTCCGGGGTGTCCCGTAAGCTACAGTGGTGTCATCAAAAACAGTCCCTCTTTGGGGTTCGGGTCCCAGCTGTTTCACACTTGGCAGACCATTTGACCTCTCTGATTTTCTGATTCCACGTGCATAATGACACCTCCTTCAAAGTGGCCCCTGACAGAGCTGCAGGAGGCTGCAACAGCACTTGGGCCATGTCTGGCGAGAAGTAAATGCTCATCAAGTGTTAGCTTTGAGCCTCTTTCCTGCCCCTTCCTGCTCTCCAGGGACTGCTGTCTGGACCACCCCTCTGGATTTCTGTTTTGGAAAGCCATGCTGCCATTCTGGTTTTATGCCAAGTGGCCTGGAGCCACTGATAACAAAAGAGGCTCTTGTCCCAGGAACCTACCTCACTCTCAACTTGCAACTTTCGAGAACATTTCTTATTGAGCTGGCGGTAGAGACGGATGCAACGTGAACAAGGATGGTCAAGGCAGGAAGACCGAGGATAGGGTCTCCAGGGCCAGAGGTACTTGGTGCAGCTGAACTGAATGATTAACGTATTTCACCAACCTTTCACTTTCCCTCTTAGTGAATTTCAGAATATACATTACTGAAGGGCGTGTGACACTTTAAATGCTCAATGTGAGTTTAGTCTGGAAAGTGCAACTGTCAGGTCCAATAAATACCCTTTAGATCAATCTGAGATGCCATTTTAAAATGCTTTATAAGGTAAATTTGTGGTGAAATGAAGTTTCTTTGTGTGTGATCAAAACAAACAAAAATTTGTCACAAGGACTTTCTCTCATTAAGAACCATTTCAACAGAATGTCCAGAGGTCTTCATGAACAGAACTCAAAAGCATTTTCCTTCATGAATAGAAAGCTTATACAGAACCAGACTTCGAAGGGCATTCAAAAGCCATTTTTTTTATGGAAATGTACATTTTCAGTTTTTTACTTGTCTAGTATAATCTTGACTCAAAGTCAACCATCAACACAACTGCACCTAGCACCCCCTACCACCTACCACCCATCTGAGACGGGGACACACCCACAGCCTGTGCTTTGGCAAGTTCTGCTTTTCAAAGCACTGTTTCCCAAGCTCTGGACACGCACCTGATAATTAGACACGGCTGGGTAGGAGACCATCACGCTCTGCACTGGAGTTCCCTGCTGGCTGCTCATCACGCCCTGACTCTGAGGTGGCTGCTGCACCCCCATGAGGCCTTGGAACCCCTGCTGACCAGACAAGACTGGCTGGTAACCTGCGAAGAGGAAACATCTTTTGAACTGGTTGTACCGAGGAGAACGAAGATGAAATTGCATGGGTTAAGATAACTTCTTCACCAGCCAACCTGAAGACCTTTCACTGTCCGTGTTAGGAATGCTTATTTCCTAACTATGCACGTTATGCTTCTCAAGAGTGGATGCGGGCATGACTCCAAAAAATTCATTGGTATCTCCACCCAAGGGTTAGTGTTGTAGTAGTGGTACATTCTTCCTGACACAAAGATGGGCACCTCTACTGATGCGGATTGACTGCTGCAAATTATACCTTTCAGATCTGTCTTTTGCTCTGGTTTCAATGATACTTGGACAAGTCACAAATTATCAAGTTTTTCTTCATTAAACTGACTCATTTTCTTACCCTCTGACTTTCCTGCACTACCTCATTTCACAAAGAGATCACCATACAGCCTGTTAACTTGGGACACATTCTATTTTCCATGCACAAGAAGACTCGCAACTCTACCTAATTCAATATTCGCTGACTCGGACAAAGGCAACAACCGCAGGTATGTCACACTTTATTCTGTTCCACTACTAGCCCCCAAGAGAACGTTCTGGCAAAATACTCCCATAAGAGACCATGTACGTATCATAGATTATATAGAATACAAAATTTAAAGAATGTGTTTGCTGGTGTCCTTCCAGGCGGGCCAGCTGGTAGGGTTTCTTTTCTTTCTAAAGGGACTGGAATTTATTCTAATTATTTTAACCCCTACTACAAGATGTGGTTTAAAATGCGTTCTTAAAGCAAGGCTGTCAACTATTCTTATAAATATTGGAAAGAAAGTTATGATGTTGGTGAAGATGGCAGGGTGACAGAGAAATAAAACAGCTTTACTTCATGCTGTAAAATAAGGTCCTTCCAGAGCTCCTGTTATTAAGCGTACTGAAACCAGGCCAATTGCTGTCTTAACACAGTTCTCTGGGAGAGAGGCTTTACATTTTCTTGACACGAACACTAAGTTTTACAATCAGAGATGCCCATCAGCAGATGAATGGATAAGGAAGCTGTGGTATATATACACCATGGAATATTACTCAGCCATTAAAAAGAATTCATTTGAATCAGTTCTAATGAGATGGATGAAACTGGAGCCCATTATACACAGTGAAGTAAGCCAGAAAGATAAAGACCAATACAGTATACTAACGCACATATATGGAATTTAGAAAGATGGTAACGATAACCCTATATGCAAAACAGAAAAAGAGACACAGATGTACAGAACAGACTTTTGGACTCTGTGGGAGAAGGCGAGGGTGGGATGTTTCGAGAGAACAGCATCGAAACATGTATATTATCTAGGGTGAAACAGATCACCAGCCCAGGCTGGATGCATGAGACAAGTGCTCGGACCTGGTGCACTGGGAAGACCCAGAAGGATGGGATGGGGAGGGTGGCGGGAGGGGGGATCGGGATGGGGAATACATGTAACTCCATGGCTGATTCATGCCAATGTATGGCAAAAACCACTACAATATTGTAAAGTAATTAGCCTCCAACTAATAAAAATAAATGAAAAAAAATTGAAACGAAGGGTAAAGAATTCCTAATCAGTGCCCATTGTTTATAAATAGCCTTTCTTTTGAGTGTATTTGAGAGTTTTAATTGAGAAAGGATGAAATTACAGTAGCATCTTTACAATAGACAACACTTGGCAATCCTGTGTCTGGCAAAAAATGTTTTCATTCACCTTAGAAATACTGGAGAAGTGTATCTTGCCAACAGTCACTAAGTTAAGAGATCAGCTCTATTCATCAAATGAGATGAAAATGAAGTGGAGTTATGGACATCCAAGACAGCAAACTCGGGGACGAGCCGGGTCAGGAGGCCTGGGCGGCGCCTGCGCCACCAGCGAGTGGAGCCAGGGCGTAATCTGGAAATCATCCTCTGACCTCCTTTTATGTGTCCCATTTTTTAAAATGTTCACATCACTCTCCTTACTCCATCTTAATAGTGGTTTTACTTACTGGGTTATTTTAAATTCTAGTATAGACACCACATACTAAGAATGTAATTGAGGGTCGTGACCACCTTTCCTCCAGTTATTCTGAGTTCATGGGAACACAGTCAAAGCCTCCCTTACGTGTGCTCTGCAGGTCTACTGGATCTCAATAACCTCAGCCCAGAGGGTTTATAAATATGGCAAAGTGTTTGAAGTTTATACAATGTGGAAAAATCATCAGACTTGGGAACAAGAAATGTGACTTAAGGGCATGTCACGGTCCTCCCTACCTCCCACAATGCCTCATATGCAGGGAGAAATTTCTTTTAACATTCATTGCCAAAATTTGTTCTCTAGGATTTCCCCCTTTTATTCTTATACCCATTGGCCCTGAAAAAAAGAAAATTCTGTTGCTTTTTTATTATTACTAGGATGTTACTACTAGCCATATCAAATTCACTGTAGCAAGGATTGTTGTTATATATGTTAAAAAAAAAATAACTTGGCATGACTGTAGAAAATTCATGGTCACAGCCTTCCTTACCATGTCTTATTTTTATAGCAAAGAGCAAGCAACGTGAACACACTTTCAGGTCTGTGTAATGGTGCTTATTTCTGGCTGAAGAGTCAAAGCACAGGTTGAAAATGAGAGAAATGTCTTTTAAAAAAAAAATCTGATTTATACTTGGATCTTAGGGTGAAGCCCCGTTGGTCTCAGGGGTACTACTGCAGGATACACATGGCTGTGATGGAAATAGAAGGTGGGAAGAAGGGGAGGAGAGAGGGCAGGAGAGGTCGGGTGGCCTCACGTCTAAAGAGGATGCACTTGCTTATTGAATCCTTCCAGCCTTTCCGAGTCATCTTCAGAATGACTCTGTTTCACAGCGTCTGTTCAAAAATAAATCGAGATGGCCTATGAAAGATTCATTTATTACATCAGCTCTATAAACCAAAATTGGGGTGAAGGGAAAAATCAGTCTGATGATAATAGAGCTGCTAAGACATACAGAAAACAGAATGTCTTGGTAGGAAAAGGAAGTAGCTATCAGATAATATTCAAGGAGAGAAAAAGAGTGAGGAGGTTGGGCAGCCTCCTCCCAATAAAGGCGCAGGCCCGGGGTGGGGGTGGGGGGATGCAATTCATCTTTGCTGAGCCCACGGGTGTGGCGACACTGCCGTGGTGTTGCCCTCCCCAAGCCGCTTCTGCCTGATTTGTGAACTTTAACATCCAGTCATGCATAGCAATGGGCTACCAGCCCTGCCCCAGGATTCCCACAGTCAACACCCTTAAGGCAAATAAAGATTTATGTGGGGAGCGAATCACGCCATACAATTTCTAAATGAAAAGTTAAGGAAAGTCCAATTTATATTCATGAACCCCGTTCATTTCTCAGTTCGCTCTCCAGGCAAGAAATTCACACCTGGAATGGTTTAATCGGAGGGCCCCACTGCTTTAAGTGATGCTACAGAAGGTAGGCGGCAGAACGGTCCTTGAGACAGGAGACTGTGTGGAATGTGAATTTGAGCTCTGGTCTAGGAATAGACAAACAGAAATGTGATAGCAGTGACCTCAGTGTGAACTAACAGGGTCTGCCTGGGACACCACTCGCCCAAAGGCGAAGATGGTGGAGCTGGCTGGTGGCAGCCTGCTTATCTCGTCTACTTAAATGAGAAGCCTGTTCCCGTTTGTCAGTTCTTAGCTGTGAAATGATCTGTTTTTCATATTTATTGAGGATTAGCCAGATAGAATGCATTGTACAAAACAGAAACAGCAACAGTAGCTGCCCTGGAGGCTTGCTAGGGCGATCGTAAAGACATTAGCTATTTGTATTATTCCTTTTTCAGTTGAGGTTAATTCAATTTTCATGTCACATGCGTCATTTATTTTCTGAAGGTAAAAAGGTCAGGAATGGACAAATGCCTCCTGACCGGTAAAAGAATACCCCTCTGCTAAGATTGAGGAGGTAAAACATGTAAAATGTCTGGATCTTACAGATCTGAAATTTAACATTGTTTTAACTAAAATATGGCAGTTATTGAATACTCCTTGTAGTCTGAGGGTAATTCATTAATATTCTGTCAAGGAAACATTTCGCTTGATGTAGCATATTTATGAAAAATCAGAATGTAAACTGGAATTACAATTTAGGAATTAAAAATTGCATGATTGATATGGATGTTATTTTAACTCTTATTTGTAAATACATTGTTATATAGCCAACATTTTGGAAATGAATGAATGACAAAGTCATGACCTGTGTTTTTAGGTGTTTGATTCCCTGGCTGTTGTTGGTTATGAAGGTTGAAGGTGAGTAGGGTGTATCTTAACTACAAATATTGGGCAGACAATGGGTTGGCCAGAAAGTTTGTTCGAATTTTTCTGTACCTTCTTACAGAGTGAACTTTTTGGCAAACTTAGCATCTACAGAGCAAAGTAAGAAGCTATGCAATTCTCAACACCTCCCCAAGCCACCGAAGCAGTGCAGTTTTCCTAAAGGGTTTTTCTTAAGTATTCTTAATATGGTACAATATCTTTTCAAATGATTAAAGTTAATAATCTGCTTAATAGAAAATATGACTTCTCTTGGGTGAACCAACACACACAGGCTTCTAAGGAACCAGGGTAGCTGGTTCTGAATTCAAATTCTGTTCTCTGTACATGGTTTTGAGATGGAATTACAGTAGTTCAGCTGTGACACAGCTGATGGAAGAACATGAAAAAGAAAAATGCTTATCCAGGACTGGCTTGTCCCTTTGCTAAATTTTTAATAGTTCATGCATTCCACATACTACTTTCTATTAATAATATCTGCCTGGTTCTGTTTGTTGGTTTCCTATCGATTCTTTTACTTTTTCTTCTTCCTTACAGATTCTCCATCATAACTGGCTAATTAGCTATATTGGTTTGATCACTTACTCTGATCCAGGCAGTAAATTAAGCACTTACACTTTATTGTCACAACAATCCTGGGAGGTAGTCAGTGCTTTTAAACTCCTTTTACAAAAGACACAACTATGACCCAGACATT